TTTAATATTAATATATTAAAATAACTTTAAAATAAAAAATAAAAAAAATTAACTTTAAGGGTGGTCGTGCTCAGGGAGCCCGATTCGAGGTTAAAATTGCGTACAAAAGCTTAGGGTATCATGTGCAGGGCGGCGCTCAAATGCGGGCTTAGGGTTAAGTATATATTTGATATTCCGGTATATTTTATAATTATAATTTTAAAAATAAATAAATTATAATTTTTTAATAATGGAGGTTTAAAGATAGAGTTTAATGGTGGGTGCCTTCAAGTCGTGATGGTATTTAGTCAGTGTTTAATGGTGGGTGCCTTCTTATAAGACAATCAATGAAGAGGGTATGCCAACCATTTAGGTGGTGGCCAGTAAAGACTTGAGACTAAAGGGTTTGCTCTCTCTGTGGTCTCAGGTTCGAATTCTTGGTTGCTCATATGATAGCCACTGGAGGTTTACATGGTCGTTAACTTCAGGGCCTGTGGGATTAGTCGTGGTGCGCGCAAGCTGGCCCAGACATCCGCGTTAATCTAAAAAAAAAAAATGAAGAGGGTATGCCAATGTACCAAAGGCCATTCATGGAAGGAAAGTTGTACACCCACTTCACCGTGGATTTCCCTGATTCTCTGACTCCTGATCAAGTTAAAGCAATGGGGACTATTCCGCTTAGGCCATTAAGTCAGTTGACAGATATGGAGCTGGATGAGTGTGAGGATACTACACTGCATGATGTTAACATTTGAATAGGAAATGATAACGAAGCAGCAGGCTCGCGAGGAAGCATAGATAAGGATGAGGGCATGCCTCATGGTGGTCAGAGGGTTCAATGCGCTCAGCAGTGAGATAACTGAATTGAATAGTGGAGGAACGAGGAGGAAACCAAAGGGTTGTCGGTAACTTTGGATTGGAAGCGCTGTTGGGTGGCACCACTCGTACTTCACCTGTGAAACATGGATGATTTCGAAAAATTTTCAGGAACGGCCTGCCTTATGGCACCATATGTTTCTCGACAGTGAAATATAAATGTTAAAAGTGCGTAGTTGTTCCATATAGTTTTCGTGCAGAAGTATTGGAGAGATTGCATTCGCAAGTTTTCACCACATATGGAATGCATGTAGGCTGCAAAAATCAGAGCTCTGTTTCAAATCAGCTTCTGTTAAGTGTTGAATTTAAGGTCTGGATTTACCTCAATTGCCATGAGAAGAATACCTCTAGTAGAGCAACAGAATTCAATGAGGGAATCCAATATCTTTTAGCGTTAGGAGAGTGTTGCTTGATATCCATCCTGTGGAATCTAATATCTTCGAAGAAGATTCTCTGGTTCAAAGGAACAAACAGAGTAGAGGCAGACACTGGTTCTGGATTTCAACCAATAAAATAATTTCATTTAAAAGGTGTCTGAGAGTGCAGACATTACTCGCATGTATTCTCTACCTTCTGGAGATACCTAAATATCTGGGGAATAGAGAATTTTGGCTTATCCCCAGATTTAATACACAATCTTGCTACAGCTAGAAGATTTTTAAGCTCTCTGGAGTCGTAATTGTTTCCTAGATCAGGATCAATCATCTTTTGAATCGAACTGCGGAAACGGGACTCTTGGATCCACTGGATTAAATCTGTGCTTCCTTTTTCTGATGATTGACCAGTTATCAGCTCCAGGATTAGCACACCAAGCTGAAAAGTTAAGTTTCCACATGCATGGTCCATACAATCTGCAACGTGAGACAAGAATTAACAGTCACGAGTAATTCTAAGAAAGCATCCTGAATTCCTCGCGAGGATGATGGTTGGAAAGAACCTTCTGAATTCGAGGAATGAGGCATTGTTACACAATCTCCAACGGAATTAAGAAGGCCGACATCAGAGATCTGTCATGAGAAAAGGGACGATCTTTTTGGCTACGTTTCTCTCAAGTTTGACACCAACACAACTCAAACACAAGAAATTCGAACTATGTTGGACTCCTATACTATCAAGATAAAGAAAAGAAACATAAACATACCTTTGCAGTGTAGTTTTCATCTAGCATTACATTACTTGCGCTGATGGAAACATGATATATTGGTGGGTTGCTGAAGAGAAGCAAATATTCCTGCATCATCGAATAAACATGAGTACAAAGCTTCTAACTGTGGTCAGCTTCCAGGTAGATTCTATGCTAAAAGCTAGGAATATTTCACACATCCAGTTGCTGACTCCACAAATTACTTAGCAAACGATTGATAATCAAGTTTTTGGAGCAGCATCGTTTTTAGGTTAAGCCAGATCTCAATCCTCCTAATTCATAAATTATGCAGAAACTATGATATCATGATTCATGACTTACCAATGCAGCTGCTACACCAATGGCTATTTGTAACCTTGTATTCCAATTTAAGGGAGTTTTAAGAGGATCTGCCAAGAGCCAAAGACTTGTTAAGAATTAAAGTTTGCAACCATGCATCAGTTACACGTTCTTCCCTGAAAATTACCATTGAGATGTTCCTTCAAGCTTCCATTTTCTACATTGTCAAACACTAGCAACCTGCAACATGTGTTAATACACAAAGTGAAAAGTCAGAGCAGTCTTTGCTCCAGTGCAGAGCGAATCCATGACAACAGATTTGCTTTAGAACAAACATAAACCGATAATTTCCAGCTAGTAATCTCAAAATATTTTGAAAAAAATTCTTTTAATAGCTTTAAATTCACATTTGACCAGGATTAAAAGGTCATTGCCCCAACATTACAAGTTGAAGTTTGGATTCAGTTAATTCACACATCACTTGATCATAAGTAGCCAAGTTTTAAGGCTGCATCATCACGTGAAGCACCAGTGATGCTCTTCAAAATTTTGTTAGGTAAGATTAAAACCTATGTCTGCCCATCTCTTTGCCCTGAACCAGGAAATAGTTTGCTGCTTGGTGTTCATCAAATGTGTTCCGCAGATCACACGTGCACTGGTGCACAGTCACATAAACAAACAGACCATATACTCTAAAATCTTGCCCGTGTTTTAAAGAAAACTGAAGCAGTGTCCCCTGGAATCTTTTCTCTGAAAAATAAAACATATGAAGTAAAGTTAATTCAAAAGTCAGGCATCAAACCTTTTACATCCTATGGAAAAGCCTTTAAGTGGAAGAAGGTGGCGATGATGCAACTGCCCCAAATGTTGAACTTCCTCGAAAAACTTTTCCTTTCCTTGATTCAAGTCTTTTACTTCCTTCACCAACGCAACCTCGCCATCTTGAAATCTAGCCCTGTAGGCTGCCCCATGAGTATTGCTATATATTATCCGGCGAAAACCATCCGTTGCCCTCTTCATGTCTTTGTACGAGAAGCGCCTCACTAACGATGCTGGACCTGCAACAGCAACATTTAGGAGAGAGAACAAAAAATCTTAATCAAGCCAAAACAACATTACATGTACAATCAACAGCAATACCATTCAATCTACCATACTAAGCCGTTCAACAAGATCCAGCATGTCAAGATGGTTATTTACTTGTATTCAGTAAAATTAGAGAGTACAGAAACACTAGAGAGAAAAGCTTGGGTTCAATTCTCATTAAGACAGCGAAAACCCATTTCTTAATTTTTTTCCTTTTCTTTTCACTCTCAGCTTAGATACCTACCACTAGAACTCCAATTCAAGAAGCATGCGAAACTTGAGTACTACCCCTATTAAAGATTCTGCATGCGAAACTTGAGTACTACCCCTATTAATTCCAAGATTGAGTTAAGGGTTCAACAAAATTGAGTTAAGGGTTCAACAGATTATCAATTCCAAGAAAGACCAAGTCTCAAGAACTAACTAATTAAATCACAAAAAGTTTGTGGTCAAATCATAATCACATGATCACAGTAACTGAGGAAGAGCTCAAAAGACAGAAGAATTGTTCACGTTGTTACAGGAAATCAAGAAAGTTAAGTAGTACCAGATCGAGAACGGCGAAGCCAAGCAAGAAGGTAAGGCCTCATCTTCTGGATCAAGCGATGCATAGTTTGTTGCCGAACGCTATCTACAGTAATTGTCGATATTTTCTTGTCTTCTTGAACAGTAATGCTAGTCGGTTCACTGCAAATTAAATTTCATTGCTTAATCTTATTAAATAATGTTTTATTGACATGGGTTTCTTGCAAAATCTGCAGAAGATTCTTGCTTTTCATTTCAAGTACTGCAACTTGGCAACTTGGTTCTCTACCAACCTGTTGTTGACGTTAAGTTAGTTACTCCTTTTCCTTACGTACACCTTTCTTTCTTTGTTTTCATGGTGGTTGGTTACCCCTTCATCAGCCTAGTATATTCTCATATTAATATATAATTTCACAAGAATATTACTTTTCCTCTTTCAAATGCACTCATGCAACTATGGTTGACTTGCTTAAAATGAAATTAAGTCTAGGCGGGCAAAAACTAGAAACCTTTAATTATAAACTAGAAAACTGGTATGTACATTTAATAAAATAAATTAAAAATTATATGTGCTGATAAATATAAAAAAAACTTTAACACTAACTAATAATTGAGTAGAAATATCAAGATAAGATATATAATCTTGTAATACAGGAATTTCTTATTTTTTTAATATATAATAATTTTTTAAGAAAAAAAAAATTTAAACTCCGCTGGAAAAACAATTGTTGTATAATTCCTCATTTTTTTATTAATATATTTTTCTTTAACAAAAAATATATTTTGTTTTGCCTTGGAGTCTTAATTTGATAAAAACCAAAAGCAATTGGAATATATATATATATAATTTGAAATAAGAACAAAGAAGTCATCTCTTCAATTAAAAAATATAAACAAAAAGTTAACATTTTGAAAATTTTAACTGAGCATATTTAAAAAATTTAGAAACAACACCCCAATTGTGTATTGTCGCAGGAAATTCTTTGAAATCCTTTTTAAAGACAAACGACAGAAAAGAGAACAAATAAAATTCAAGAAAAATAATCGTAAGAATAATAAAGGGCTGTCTAGAAATTGATATTATAAAAGAATTTATTCATGCAGGCTGCTTCTCAAAAGACAACACATCTAACATAAACATTCAAAATCACTCGTGATTAGGTGCCCGTTTGTTTATGCATGTGTCTACGTTTCAATCAAAAAGCATCTGTTTTCATCGCGAAGTTTTCTGTTCTGTTCATCTCAAGCTCGTTGACATCAAAAAAATAAGAGAACTGAGGGATGCACAGTTGAGAAGAAACATTCTGCGTCATTGGACCCTGCCTGTAGGGAGAAATCGGTTGCCTGCTTGGACCATGATAGCTTGCAGAGTGTGCCCAGCTGGGATTGTTGAACATCATATTCCCTATCATCTCTGTGGCAGGATCATAATTGTATTGAACTGTGGATTTTATGGTGCTGCTACTAGAAAGGCCGCCAAAGTGACCGAAGTCTTCATGGTTCATCATCATCAACATGGGACTATTGATAGGATTGACATTGAATGGAAGCATCTGTTGCAGCTGATGAGATGGGTAGCACGTAGCCAGTGGCATATCTATTGGTTTGGCACAAGGAAAGGGTTGCTGGTTAAGAGCCTCTAATTCAATATTCTTCGGAAGTAATGGAGCCAGAAGGCTTGATTTATCACTAATGGAGCCAGCTGCATTAATCCCTGACTTGGAATCTTCCATCAAAAAGGGGTTGCCTTTTAGCTTCAATATCCAACCTCTTGCAACATCAAGTTTAGATTCGAAAACTCCTGCAAGTACCCTGAGTTGCTCGAGTGATAACAAGTTGAGGCGATTATCCCATGCAGGGAACTTTGCTTCCATACAGGCTTTGCGCAGTTTAGCAATTTCATCATCCAGTTTCTTCTTCCGAGCTTCAAAAAAAAAAGACAAATCTTGTGTTTTCTTTCGGTCTGCACCTTCCGACCTAAACCTGTTGATAATGCGTCTGACCTCAATGCGATCGGTTGGCCAGGTTTCGACATCAACAGGATGATTATTCAGTTTTGGCCCCAAAATGATAACACATGCATCTACACCACAGAGAATTTGGAATTCCCTTGCTTTCTTTGTCAAACCCTTCTTTCTTTTGTGATAAGTAATCATCCGAGATCTCTCATTGCGTATGAGTTCCATGGTTAGCTTACCACGACCCATTTTTCCGTTTTTATTCACCTAGCAACACAAGAGTTTATCATCAATATGCTCTATTTACCTAGCCATGCATAGATCTTCCATTGCCTAACTAGTAGAAAACTTAAGACACTAAGCAAGGGATCATAACAAAACAGATAACACAAAAACCCTAATAATAAATTAACAAGCTGGCCTTAAAACCATAATCTGTGGTTTCTTCATCTGTTTCAAAGAAGTAAAGGACATGTACATTAAGATCAAACACTGTAAAAGGCTAGCAAAAAAACAAGATAAGAGACATACAATATATAATAGAAGGTAAACGAAAATAATCTTCTTTTTAGAAACAATTATTGTTTTCAAGTATAAAAGAGGAGAGTAGTGCAATAAAATTAAGAAAGTACCTTAGGTTTTAATGGCGTTTCCAACCTTGTAGTTAGTTCCAATATGAGCACACAATAACATAGCTTCAAGCCATATGTATATACAAGGAGAGATTAGCATTCCATTTATGGAAGTGAATCACAATCACATATTTTTTGAAGAAAGATTAGGGTTTCTATTATCTTTCCATAACAATACTGTCGTGTGTCTCAAGATCTTGCATGCAAATTTGCTGACTTGCAGGCATTGCTAATTAATTCCCGCATTATTTGCCGACTTGCAGGCATTGCTAATTAACTCCTGCAATATGCTTAATGAGTGAGGATAAATTTTTAATTTCAATCAATCAATGAGGAACTGCCTATGAAATAGGGACTGCGTCGCTGGTGATTGAAATATGATTCACCAAAATCTTTTATTATATAAAAAATTTCAACAAGAAGTTTCCTTTACAAGGGTCCTTAATAGTGTGATATTGAACTTTGCTGGGTCTTAATGGTGATTCTTTTTGACCTCCAAAGTCTGATTGAAAGTTAACTATCTCGGATTGAAAGTTAACTATCTGGTTTGCCTCGATTCGAGATGGCTGTCACAGGCTATGAATAATATGAGCTATCTGGACACGATACAGATGAGCTGCCGTTGGAAGAAAAGTCTTTACTAGAGGACCGATCCAGATACAAAAAAAATTCTAATATCGACTGTTATCCAACTCATCCAAAAGTTTCCTTACAATTACCTGCAAACATGAAACCAGATAGGAAACATAAAGCAATTCCAGAATGAATTACAAGGGAATCATTACAATTACCTGCAAACATGAAACCAGAATGAAACATAAAGAAATACAGGATAGAAAATGCGCAAGATTCAACAGCAGCTTGCCATTTGACCCACGAGGCTATGATCGGAAGAGAATCTTTAAGCCAACAGAAGACACCAAAAGATGTTCAGATACTAGAGTTTTGCCAAGATTGTCAGCAATGTGAGCACCTGTAAGAGGGGAACACATTTGTTTACAAACTACATAACATAAGAAAATGGGTAGAGTTTATAGCACAGGCTTGTGCAACATGCAAATACTGGCTCTGCACAGATAGCAGGCGATATTGGAGTTGACAGTCTGAGAATTGGACTAACTGACTAAGTGATATATGCCACTAATCACCATCTCTACACATTTCAAGTGCAGGCAAGTCCCAGAAGACAAACCAGAATTGTCTCTTGAGTTGATCCAGTTCTAGTTGTATAAAAGACGGGTTGCAGACAGTAAAACGATGAACTTTTTCACAGAACAGACAAGGCAAGTGCAGCACATGATATGTTGTCAGAAATAGTCAGGATAAGTAAACAGCACATGATATAGAAACAAAAATTGCAGACAGAGCTAGCTGATGCGCTGTGCAATCTTGCTATTGAGCTCGGTAACATCCTTGAACAGGGGATTCAATAAATAAAAAATTCAAATAAAGTAGAAATATTCATGAACTTTTGATAAAAATGAAAACTGACGGGCGACAAATGACAGTTAAATACTGATATTGTATGCGATTAAAATTATTTATAAACTGAGTGGATTTAAAAGATTTTACAGCCACACATTTCCAGAAGACTTTGTGTAAAAAAATTCTCTTGTTTGGTCTTTGTAAAATATGAATTAATTTTTATTTCTTTTAGGACAATTAATTTTGGTCTTCACTCGTTATAATTCTTTGGTATACCATATCTGAGTCCTACACCAGAGCTTTTCAATATCCTAGAAGAACATACCCAAATATAATTTGCTCAAATCTTTTATAGTATAAATACATTTTTTTCCCTTCCAGCTGAACAGAGGCCACTATTTGGTCAAATTTTCTTACTAAAAAACAATAAGGTAATTCTTCTTCTCTTAAAAAAAGAAAACAAATATATAAAAAAAAGTCTTATTCTCGAGAAAAATAAACATAAAATAAAAATAAATTCTCTCTAAACTTCACATGCATTAGCAGCCCTCTAACCTGACACCCATTGCCCTTTAACTGAACTGCAATCAAACAACCATCTCTATAACACGAGTAGTCTAGCCACGCTAACGTGTATCGTTGGAGAAAGCATTTAGTCAATCACGTGGTTAGATGTGGCAAAGAGTTTAATTATATAAAATATATATTTTATAATAAAGGTATTTTTTAAGTTTTGAAATTAATTTATGATTGATTCGCAGGTGAATATAGAGTTCTTAGTAAAATAATTATAAGTATAATTTTTTTATTATATTAAAATATTGTTCTTAAATTCTTATGATCAATACTCCATTAATATTATACGTTAATTAGAGTTGTTGATATTAAACTTATTAAATGATAAATATACTAAAATAATCTACATGGGAATTTCATACGGAGAAGTTACGCTTGCATATAAAAAGACTCATATAAAGATTGTATAAAAGAATAATTGAATTTGAAATCTCTAGGTATTTTATATTAGGGAATGCTATGTTTTGATCATAATTTCATGTTGTCTTGATAATAGATAATAGATAAATAGATATGTGGTATACCATAAATAATATTAAGGTATTTAAGTGAATAAATAGATAGATATTAGGTATACCATGAATAAAATTAAAGTATTTGAGTGATGAAATGATAGTTCATCAACCTATGTGAAGAAAATAAAATATTCAATGTGTTCTCAAATAATATTAATTGTAAAGTTCTTGTGCAAGGTGAAATGACTTTATTTAAAAAATTAATAACTATGATATTAAGAACAAATATAATTTAACAAAATAGATAGACTTTCAAAGTCAAATGAGATTATAAAATGGTTTCAAATTTTATTTAAAGAATTAATGATTATGGTATTAAAAACAAATATAATTTAACATGGTAGACATACTATATACTCGAATGTCTAAATTGAAATATCATTGATGAAGAAATAATAACTATATTCAGAAACCAAAGATCAAAATATTAAAATATTAATTAATTAAATTTATAATAAATTAAATTATTTAATTTATTTAATCATATTTTGATTATAGTAGTAGTTTATATTTGAGTCAATCTAATGAGTTTTACACATTAATAATTATTGATAATAAATTAAACTAAAATAATTGATCAAGTAAGACTTAATTGTAAATCAATTTTAAAAATTAAAAGTTATAATATAATTAATATGAAAAATTATAATTTTAGATCTAAAAAAATTCAAGTAGGATGTAATTACATAAATTTCTAGTAAGTGTTCTAAAATAATTTACTGATATTTTTTAGAAGATAAATTAATATTTTACCATATTTTGGATGAGACATGACAATTGCAAAGTGTTTGTTTGGAGTACCGAATAAAGATCGATCCTTATTGGTACTGAATTGGACGTACCATAAAATTAAAGGGCTAGATTGTTTTCAATAAATATTAAAATCTTATAAAAATAAAATAGAGATTAAAATGAATTCTTAAAAAATTACAAGAACTAGCATAAACTTCCATAAAAACTTCGTCTGATCCTGTCATATACCTTACGCATTAAATACAAGACAATAATATGTATTTTCTAAACCAATTAAATCAATTCCATCCATTTTTATTTTTATATATCTTGCGAGGTGCAATATATAAATATCAAGTACCAAAATTCAAAAAATAGCCTATAGACACAAGAAAGTTAGCTCTTAAGACGTGTTTAATATTGTATTTTAGAAATATTTTTAAAAAATTTAATTTTTTTTAGAATGAATATGTTTTTAATATTTTCAAATTATTTTAATATGTTAGTTTTAAAAATATAAAAATTATTAATATACTTTTATGAGTGAAAAATATTTTTAAAAATAATTATAACCATATAAGTTTTAAAATTAAACCATATACATGATTGGAAAAGAAAGTTTATGTGTTGGAAAATCCTAGTTTAAAAAGGTTTAAAGGTTTTTATTTTTATTTTTATATTGAATGAAAAAAGAAAAAAGAAAAAAGAAAAAAAGAAACTATCAAATTTATTTCTATATAAGAAGCTATTTTTATTTTTCAAATGATGTGAAGATTCCAGCATATGCTATCTCCGGGCTCATCAATTTGTTTATATTTTATTATTGTAAAAAATATTTTTAGGTATTTTTTATATTAATTTACATTAAATTTATTTCTTAGACTATTTTAAAAATATTTTTAAATGGTAACTTGATATTTAAGGTTATGTCTATCTTTACAACTATGGTATTGTTTTTTCTAAAAATTAATTTTTTAATTTAAATTAATATTTTAAGTATTTGTTAATTATGTTGATATATTAAAGTTAAAATTTAAAAAATGTTATTTTAATATATTTTTAAATAAGAAATATTTTAAAAAATAACCTTCATTATATATATATATATTGGAGATTGTTGATTTCTTTCCATGAAAATAACTTAACAAGGCTAACTACTAAAAAAAGGCACACTTTCTATTAAGGTAAAAAATAAATTAATTTGTTAGAGTTTAAATTACTTATTATTATTATTATTATTATTATTATTATTTATAGCAGTTTATTTATTTTTTTCCCCTTCTTGAATCCTCTTCACAGAAAAAAGCTCCAGCTCTCTCCCGGCAAAATCCACTGCCGCTATATGCTCTCCGTCTGGCTTTGTCTATTACAAAAAAGAGATTTAAAAAAAATGATTTGCATTGCATTACTCTCTTTTATCCATTTTTAAAATCACTCAAATCTCTCTCTCTCTCTCTCTCGCCCCCCCCCAATGGAGAACGGTCTCTCCGAAGATCTCTCCGATTCAACTCAGTTACCCGAATCAGACAACGACCAGCGAGTCTACTTTGTTCCTTACAGGTCTCTCTCTCTCAACTACTTTATCTGATACTTTGAAGGGTCTACATTTTACAAATCTAGACCAAAACAGAGGTGCCTGCCTCCTTTTAATTTAATCTTTTCTTTTTAATTTTAAATCAATCAACTTCAAAACTTAAGTGGGAATAAAT